AAATCCTTTATAAAGAAGGTCAGTATTATTATCCCCTTTTCCCAGGGGAAGCTGAGGCGCAGACGCTAAGGTACCTGCTTCTGTGTTGGGGGAGGAAAACATTCTGTGCCTTGCTTTTGATGGCCTTCTATATACAATATCTATTTCTCTAAAAATCATTATCCGCACTAGTAACAGTGGCATGCTAGAATAGACATAGAAGTAACTTACTGCTATGCTTTCTAAATTCTGAGCAGAGCTAGGATGGGACTCTCTGGTTTAGTAATGTTCTAGGATCAGACAGTCCTGGTTGAGGCTCCCTGTGGCAGAGGGCTAGGAAGTGAGTGGAGCCTGCTGGGAGGCCAGCAGCTGGTCCAGACCTAGGGGTCGAGGTGGTAGCTGGAGGGCCAGATATGACCTTCCTGGTCTGGCAAAATCCCTCATACAGGACCAGTCAGGTCCTGAGGGTGCCACACCAGGGAGGTCCAACCTGTAGTTAAAATCCCAGTAGGCAGTAAAAGCTAGTTTTCCTACTATTTGTAGCTATAATGGGAACATTTAAGAAACTTCCTACAGAACAAATAGGGGAGTGTCTAACAACAGCAGAAAAAATAGACTGCTACTAGAAGAGGGGAAGGCACAAGAGATCGCTTCATTCACTAAATTCCATGAGCTATGGGGGCCAGTTTTTTTCCTGCTGGATCTTCCTGAGAGAGCTGCAGACTGCTGGCAAAACTACCACCTCTTCCCAGAGTGCTTCCAGCTTCCTTACTAATTTCTGTTTCTGCATATTGGAAGCCTTGAGAGTTGATAGTCATCCTCTCACCATTGGGTCATATCTTTTCAGGCACTCCCACCAAAGCTTAAAGGTTGCTAGAAGAACAGCTAGAACTTACCATGTTAATTGATAGAATTTTGCTTCTGACATCGTAAGAGCACACTGGTATTTTCTAGCATCCAGTAGTAATTGGGGTTTTAGATTAAACAAGCTCTGTTTTATCTTCAGTGTGACTTTGTGAGTGAGACATTCTTTAGTAAAACTCACATTATAATTTCAAACTGTTAAATTTACAAAATTGACCTCTGATTATGAACACACAAGATTATGAATTCCTAAAGTGATGCACCAAGTTCATTGCAAGCAATGCAGAATTATTTTTAACTGAGTGTTGCGTGAGGTGTGCTTCCTAATAACTGTACAATAGTTAAGAGTGCATCATTGGGACACTTTAACTTGCTCTAAATCGTTTGTTTTGAATTGTTTTGAATTGTAGTACTCCTGTTGATCTTGGTGAGATGGAAACAGAATCCATAGGAAGTAATTCTACTGAATCTCAAGCAAGCTCTCAAGACAATTATGTAAGTAATATTTTGCCATAACTATTCAACTAAATTATATTTCAAATCAATAATTAGGGCTGTCAAATTATTTTTAAAAGTCAGTCGCAAGATTAAAAAGGTCATGATTAATTGGTATTCTATTGTTTAACAGGGCGATTAAAATTTACTGGTTTTGGATTTTTACATTTACAAATATATTTTTCAGTTACAGCACAGAATACAAAGATTATAGTGCTCACTTTATATTTTTTTATTACAAATATTTGCATTGTAATAATGATAAAATGTCCTTTTTATACAAGTACTGTAGTACAATCTCTTTATCATGAAAGTGCATCTTACAACTGAATTTTTTTATGTAACTTTTGTTTTTTAGTGCAAAGAACTTTTTAGCACTTACAAGTTGAAGCATGGAGGGGCGTATGAATGTTTAGCATATCTGGCACATAAGTACCTTGAAATGCCAGTTGCAGTAGTGACATGAGTGCCTGTTCTCACTTTCAGATAAGTGTAAATAAGAAGTGGGCAGCATTATCTCCCATAAATGTAAATAAACTTATGTAAACAAACTTGAGTATTGCTGAACAAAAAGTAGGACTGAATGGACTTGTATGAGGTGAATTGAACTTTTTAAAATCTTTTTACATTATAAGAAAGTGAGCACTATACACTTCTTGTAGTGTTGTAATTGAAACAAATGTATTTGTAAATGTAGACAAACATTCAAAGCTATTATAAATTTAAATTGGTATTCTATTAACAGTGTGATTAAAACTGTAATTAATCACAACAGTTTTTTAATCTAATTGATTTGGCTTGCATTAATCACTTGCAGGAACTGTGGTGAAAGCCCTCTTAATGATCAACTTTTTGCTACTTTACAGATAACATTTCCTAAAGCGTGAGGAGGTTCTTTGAGTGCTTGCTCACGGTTATTTCATTCTAGGCGTGTGGGTACCCGTGTATGCGGTCATCAGAGGCTGCGTCTAGACTACATGCCTCTGTCGTCAGAGGCATGTAGATTAGACACATGGGCAAAGTCAAATGAAGCCGCGATTTAAATGATCGCGGCTTCATTTAAATTTACATGGCTGCCGCGCTGAGCCGACAAACAGCTGATCAGCTGTTTGTCAGCTCAGCGCGGCAGCCATGTAAATTTAAATGAAGCCGCGATCATTTAAATCGCGGCTTCATTTGACTTTGCCCATGTGTCTAATCTACATGCCTCTGACGACAGAGGCATGTAGTCTAGACGCAGCCTCTGATGACCGCATACACGGGTACCCACACGCCTAGAATGAAATAACCGTGAGCAAGCACTCAAAGAACCTCCTCACGCTTTAGGAAATGTTATCTGTAAAGTAGCAAAAAGTTGATCATTAAGAGGGCTTTCACCACAGTTCCTGCAAGTGATTAATGCAAGCCAAATCAATTAGATTAAAAAACTGTTGTGATTAATTACAGTTTTAATCACACTGTTAAATGTACCCAGAGATTTTTGCCTTGTATCTGTAGGCTCGACCATGGCACCCCTTGAGTGCCATAGTCATGCACTGGTATATCAGGTGTTGCTGGTCCTATGACCTGTCAGTTCCTTATTGACTATGGTGCTGAGAGAACCTTTCCTTACTTAGCAAGGGCTAGCAGTTTTTTGTCTTGCCTTATACATTGTTTCTCAGTAGTTAAGCTTAAGTAGCTGTTAAGTCTCATAGTAGTTAAGAGTCCCAGCATTGATTCACCGCAGGTGGGACATGTCCTGGTCTCCCAGGTTTATGTAATGTGCTGACTGTAGCAATCCGATGCTTGTAAGTGACCCCCCTCCATAGCAGTTGTCTCACAAGAGCCTCCCCCAAGCAGTTGAGACAAGTGCCATATTTATAAGAAACTTTTGGCTTCTGAATGCAAAAAGAGTAGGATATTTGGTTACAGGCTCTCTTTGTGCAGTCTGCCCTCTGAGTCATCCCAGCAAGCATCTCTGAGCATGTTGGCATCACTGTGACATGTCTCTGGCACTGGGATCCGCCTAATACTGATCTCTATCACTGGGGTCTATAAAGAAGGCGAGGAAGCTAACTGTCTGGCACTAGGGAAGAAAAGCCAGTGGTTATTAGACAAAAGACATGCTTCTGGTTACCCTTCTGAGCCATGCAGTTGTGCTTCTCTGGTTGGAACCATTAGTCCAGCCGTGGCCAACCTGAGCCGCATGCTGCTCTTCTTCTCTTCCTCTTCTCTCTCTTCCCCCTCCCCCCCGGTGGCTTGTAAGCCCTCCCCCCACACTCCCAAAAACAGCCCTCTCCTCCTGGCTCCTTGTCCTGACCTGGGCAGGGGATCTGTCTGGTGCGGCCATGAAAGACGAGAAATGAAGATGGCATCGGGAGCCTTCTGTGGCCAAAATGCCTCAAAGGCAGTCCTTTTTCTTTTTCTTGACTGCTTTGCCCTGGCACTTCGTGCTGGATCCACTGCTATCTTGGCTCTGTGCCCAGAATAGGTTGACCACCCCTGCATTAGTCTTTTGAAGGGTCCTCCTCCAACTCCTAAGAGACCAGTATGAGCAGTGAAGAGAGCAAAATCCTTCATGGCACCCACGCCTTTGCGTGCTCCCCCAGCATCGAGAGCAATGGCTTCCGATTGCACCACCAACACTGCATGTACTGCAGGGTTCAGCAAAGACTCCCCAAGAGGGGCAAGCCAGCTGCTAAGACTCTTCAGAGATCAGTCAATCCCTTAAAACAATGACATGCTCTCCATCCCACAGAACATTGGAGTCATTGCCCAGATTGTCACAGCTTACCCTCCTTCACTGGTACTATAATCATGGTCCTGCCACCTGAACATGGATTTCTTGGGGCGAGGGGATGGCACCAGTCTCAATTCTGTTGGCACCTGTTACCTTCTCGATGCTGGGTCTGGTCACCTATACTGTGGGAACACTCTCCATGGCACCTGTCCCCGTATTACCTCTACCACTCTCCTCTCTCTGGGTACTGGTTTCCAGCAACAGCTATGGTCTCCAAACAGACTCAGGTGTCAATGATGTCACTGTGGTCTCCGGAAGTGAATTCCTCTGGTATGGAAGGGAAATTCAGCCCTTGGCCTAGATCCCAGTGGCATGAATGGATACCCAAGGTCAACAGTGTTGGCATAATAGCAGCCCAGCCAATAGGTGGTGTAATGGCTTTATTGGAAAGCATGGGTAATGCCAGTCATGGCAATACCTCCTTCACTCTGTTCCTCTGCTACCACCTTGGAACAACTACTGACAGCGCTGGGCTCGATGCAAAAGGTGTACACAGAGGCAGAGGAGGCTGTGCTTGTTCCAGAGCCTTCCTCCTTCCCAGACTGCTTAATGTCCTTTGAGCTTCTACCCCAACCAGTCTTGCACAATGCATGATGGTGTCCTCAAGATTGCCCATCTGGCGAACTCCTTCCTGCAGCCCTCCCACTTCAAAACAGGTTGAAAAGAAATACTTTGTTCTGGCCACCGGGTTTGAATAACTTTATACCCACCCTGTCCCTGGCATGCTGGTTGTTTCAACAGCCAATGAAAAAGAGAAACTGGGGCATTCCAACTTTGCTCCAAAAAACAGAATCAAATGACTGGATTTGTTTGGAAGGAAAATTTATTCCACAGCCAGTTTGCAGTTTTCGGTGGCAAACCATCAAAGCCCTCTTAGGCTGATACAATTTTAACTTATGGGATTCCCTTTGTAAGCAAAAGCTTATTGGACAGTCGATACACTAGTGGACTATTTGCTTCCCCCCACACCCTTTACTGCCTCTATGAGAAAGTGGCAGCAAGGGTGGGGAAGAGGAGGGGAGGCTTCAGAGTGGCAGCACTGTGTGGAGCCAGAGTCAGCTGGGGACTCCCCTGCTGACCCGGGCTCCACATGGCGCTGCTGCTTTGAAACACCGCAGGGAGCCCCACGTGGCATTTCAAAGCAGCAGCGCTGCTGGTCCCTGGCTCCATGCTGAGTTTCAGAGTGGCAACTCCCCACTGCCCAGTGCTCTCTGCATCACTTTTGCCTTTGAAGTGTAGCAACAGCCTCAAAGGCCAGGCTTCCTTATAGACTAATCAAATAGTCAAGGCAAATTGCATTGGCTATTCGATTAGCCTATTAATCTAAATTTAACACCCCTACTTTCCAGATGGTGTGGGATATGGCAAACCTAACAGCCAGGATCATCTCAGCAGTGATAGTAATGAGGCACAGCTGGCTTCTTACTTTCTCCTGCTGCTTTCCTGGGAAGTTTCATTCCTGGTAGCGATAACATCGGCCCTCAAGGTGTCTGAGATCAGGGCTCTTACTTTGGAACTTCCCTATACAGTCTTCTCCAAGGACAAGGTTCACTTCCATCCGCATCTAGTCTTTCTCCAAGATTCTTTCCTAGTTTCATGCTAGCCAGGACACCTGTTTACCCATATTCTTTCCCAAGCCTCATATCAGAGGAGCACTGCAAGCTTCACACTCTGGAAGTCAGATGGGTGCTGGCTTTGTGCATAGATAAAGCCATGGGTAGACTATGCAAAAGTTGCTTGTGGTGGTAATGGACAGGATGATAGGTTGTTCAGTGTCCCGTTCAGAGGATCTTTTCCTAGATCTCTGCCTGTATCCACTACTGCTTATGAGCTGGCAAAAATGCCTCCGGCAATCATGACAAGCATGTTCAACCAGGGCATGGGTGTCATCAGCCTCCTGACACACGTTCCTAACCAAGAAATCTGTTGGCCTGCAATCAGTTCGTCCACCCTCACGTTCATGTCTTATTTTCTGACCCAGCAAGCTGGTGGTGATGGTGATGGTGATGGTTTTGGCAGAGCTGTGCTGCAGGATACAAGGCGTGAATTCTGAGCCCACCTCCTGCTTATGAGTCACCTAGAATGGAATTAACATAAGCAAGCACTTGAAGAAAAAAATGATTCTTCATCTTTTTGTAACTTGTTCTTCAAGACGTGTTGCTCATGTCCATTCCATTACCTACCCACGTTACCTGTTGTCGGAGTTGTTAACAAGAAGGAACCGAGAGGGTGTAGAGCCAGTGACACCTGATAAACCAGTTCGTGAGCTCCGCACTTAAGAGAGTGCCGTGGCAGTATCTTACAAATACTGCTAAGGCAAAAATCTGTGAAGATCCCTCATGTGGGAACATGCATGCCTAGAATGGAATGGACATGAGCAACACATTTCAGAGAAAAATAGTTACAAAAAGATGGGTAACCAGTTTTTGTGGATTTCCTTTCCCTGCCGCTCCCCCTCTGTGAAGATCCCTCATGTGGGAACATGCATGCCTAGAATGGAATGGACATGAGCAACACATTTCAGAGAAAAATAGTTACAAAAAGATGGGTAACCAGTTTTTGTGGATTTCCTTCCCTTGCACCACGTCACACCCCTTCCACTGCGTCACATACCCCCATACCGTGTCACACCCTTGCACCGCATCACACCCCTGCATGCTTCATCACACCCTTGCACCGCGTCACACCCCTTCCACTGCGTCACATACCCCCATACCGTGTCACACCCTTGCACCGCGTCACATACCCCCATACTGTGTCACCCCCCTGCCACGCCACACAACCCCCCAC